GTTGCAGTTTGTTTACCCATTCACTAATTACACAATATATTTGATCATTTGTAGTTTGTCAATAATGAATACAACTGCCATAAACATGTGCAAGTCTTTGTGTAAACATGTTCAGGCCAGTGGGTAAACACTAAGTACAATTCTGAATCAAATGTTAGGACTATGTATAGCTTTGTAAGAAATAGACATAGACTTTTGGGGGAAATGTTTGGAATTTCCTTTTTAATGTAATATATGCATACTTTGATTTAGGCTCTGTGCTAAATGTTTAGGATAGAAATTTAAGACTCAGATTCAGATCTTAGAAACAGTGGAAAAACATATAAAGAATATATAATCCTTTTAATAATCAATTATAAGTTCTAGGATAGTTATAAGTACATGCATTATATTTTTAATAATTAAAAGCTCTCATTTGTATTATGATTCTTTTTCTACACTTATCTATTCTTCCCTGTCAAAAGAGCTAGTTATATTCCTTATTACCTCTTCTACATAACTTCTTTGTTTGTTTCACACAAAACCAGTAGTTTTCTCACTGATAATCTCGCTCACTTTTACACCATTTTTACTTCTTCTTAACCTTTAATAATACCTCAAGAATTTATATAGCTGGGATATATAATGCCAACTTTATTTTGGTAAAATGTATAATTTTAATTCCATACATTGTAAATATGATATTTTTCTATAAAGCATAATAAATATTTATCATTTACAGTATTTTTTTCTTTTATTGAGTGTATTGGTACATTTTAGGTATACAGTACAATTACATTCATTATTTGGATCTTGTACCTTTACATGACAGGTAATAAATATTTAAAACTATCTTTCTAAGTACATTTATGCTAGTTAGGTATGCAGCAAATCTTTTAGAGTCCACCTTCACTAGGTTGGGGCAACCTTTGGCATTTGGTTAATAATAGGAAGATTCAAAAAGTTATTGATATGGATTATTGCATTAAAAACCTGATAATACAGTATCTTGATCTCCCAAAGGACAGGCTCTATTTCTAGGCAACAGTGTTTAGGAGACTCAAGGCATAACTAAATACACTTTCAGAACAACTTCTTCTCTTCTTTGATTTGTGAGGTGAACAATTGAAACAATTCATGAATGCTGCCAATTATTTTATTTTTAATAAATCTCTTGAGGGACTGAGGAAAGAACCAGATGTGAAAAAGTGAAAGGCTATAGAGTGGCAGGACAAATACAGACACAAACAATTGGTAAGATCAGAAGGGTCCCAACTGAGAACTTACTTTTCTTTTAGGCTTTCTGCTGCTTGCAGTGACCAAGTTAAAGCTTTGCTTTAATTTTGTTCAGATGACTGCAGAACCTGGAAAAGCTGTTGCTGCTATTGATGCATAACATACTGCTATTATTGGTCTTTTTATATAAATATGAATATATATATATA